TTCTTATTCTGGTCTTTTAGCCACTATAAACTCTTCTTCTTTGTCGATTTCCACCATTTCTGGTATTACTACACATTAAAATGACAACCATATAATGAATTTTTGAATTTGGATAATCACATCAAAAATCCGACGCTGTTAATTTTTTAATTAGTTCAATTTAACATGTTTACCTTTTAGCTTTTGAAACGGACCCGTCTTGGACTTGCGACCTGTCCAGGGTGTACCCCACTCCTTGCACAGTGACTGCTGGACGTGGGCACCTGTAACCCCTGTGATCCTGAAAGGCAGATGCGGGTTAAGATGATGAATGGATGGGTGGATGGTTAGCTGGTTTTGAAAATGGAAAAACAAACCAAAAAATAAATAAAAAAATTGATTGTTTTCTTTTTGCAATTTTATTTTGAAACAGCATAACCCAAGAACAAACCATACACGGGTTAAATCTAGCACTTTTTTTTCGTCAAATCATTATTATTTTTTGTCTTATTTCACAAGGAACAAACTACTGGATGTTAGTTTGTGTATATATACTTAAACTTGTTGCCACTGAGTTAAAGAAGAGGTTATCTTGCAGTAATCTGTGTAAAACGTGACAGTGGACTTCTGGCAGACATGTACGGTACTAGCATTTTCTGCACAAAGGAAGAGTGACCTGCCCTCCTGACCTTCCACCCCCGGCCCTAAGGCTCTCAACATCCAATCCCCTTCCTCCCCAGCTGTCAGGAACATTACCCACCAACACYCTCTGTCCTAACTGCCTTTGCATCAGAAGAAGCAGCCAGGTGTCTTAGACCACTTGCTTGTTTATTGTTAGCATATATTCTAAAGTAAGCATTATTTGCTTGGGAGGTTAGACTTTTTTTGTAAGGTAGAAGTATTTGCATCGTCATTCTCAGGCCCGGTTGGTAGTTGCAATTAAAATTAATATGTGCCCATTCTCCTCTGTTTTTTGTCTACTTTTAGGCATGAGCCATGAGCCAAAGTCACCATCATTAGGAATGATCTCCACGGCCACGCGGACCACGGCGACAGTCAGCCCCCTCACCCCGTCACCGCTTAACGGCTCCATCGTAGCAAATGGAAGCCCGGCTGCCCAGTCAGCGCACTCTGGATTTGCTGCAGCCCTCCGTAAACTGGCGAAACAAGCCGAGGAGCCTCGAGGTAAAGCTGCAGTTTCGCCTGACACTAAAAAAGTTTGCGAGCACCGTTGGATCAATTTCTGTTCTGGTCTAACGAGTTTCTAAAGTTGGATGGGGCAGGACATTTTTCAGCACTAAAACATGGCTGGCTTTGTGTTTTTTTTTTTTTTAGTTCACTTCTCTTTCTGCTTACTTGGTAACGCTGGTTGTTGGATGAGAATGAGTTGAAAAAAACATCTTCTGAATAGCTGTTTCTTAAAAAGTATCAGCTTCTTTTTTTCCCCTTTTTGACTTTTGATATTGGTGTATTTTTATGCAAAAGTTCATGATGTAACTTTTACAAGTGATGAAACGAACATTGGTTTATACTTCAATATAATGGGTTTTTTTCTGTGTGTCTTTATATATAAACTGTAGGTAGTAAGTAAAATTAAAAATACTGACGTGACACCCTCTTATTGTTAAATTAATCGTTTTACCCTGAGATGCTGGTATGGGGGTCTTTAGCTGGTCCATTTAATGTGCTTTTTGTGAGTTTGTGTTCGCTTGTCACTGTTCCTATACACTCTCTTCTCTGTCATATATTTACACCTTTTGATCAATGAAACYTCATAAAAAAGTCTCCTTTGAGCTCTGTATGGCTCGTTAAATATAAAATAAATGCAACTTATTCTTTTTTTGTCAAGTATCTATTTTTTTTAGCGGACAATCATTTAAATGTCTTTTAGGTACAAAGYGAGTAGAGATTTTCTGGTTCTTTTTTTTTTACTTGTTATTTTTGCCAAATGCAGAAAAATGCTGTAAAATGCAGTGTTTTATTGGAGGTGCTTCCTGTGCCTGTGGGCTCCGTGCCTTGGCAGCAGAGAGGCCCAACTACTCCAGCCTCCCCTCCTTTTTGTTTGGGCTCTTAAATCAGATGGTTCRCTCCTTATTTGCTGTCCCTGGACATGTGGCTCTCCAGCCCACTGGAGTCCGGGACCCACAGCCCCCTGCAGATGATTTATTACCCTCATGGAGAGATCAGTCACATCCAACCATCACCTCACCTCCCTCTGTCTTTCTCTCCTTTATCTCTCTTCACTCTTTCACACTGGATGTCAGCCCTGTTACTTCCTGGCTTTTGCTTTCTCTATCAAACAAAACATTTCTTCAAAATACACTTTTATTGTACGCTAGTGTCTCTTTCTTCCCTTCATCGTGCGCACTTTATTATAAAAATTATCAGTATTTGATTTGCCTTCCAGCAAGGTGAGAATTAGAGTGGGCAGATCAACAAAAACAACAATAAAAACTGTTTTTTGTCTTTGTCATATGCTTCAGAGATTCTGCCTGATCGAGGCCTTGCTCCTTTTTAATAAAAAGGAAAATTCCTTCCTTATCTTTGAGGCCTGCACTGCCTGGTTGGAGTAGGTAGTGAAATGTTGGTGAGTCAGCAGTCAGGCGCACAGTTAAGGTGTGACTGCCCATGTAAGGAGCACCGTTTCTAAGGTGGGCATAGAGTCATGAGGCCCCGGAGCTCAAGTCATTTTTCTGTCTGCATAGCCTGTATTTATAGGCAACACACACCCAAACACCCCCACACATACAAACAGTTGTCTTTGCAATGCTATAAGCCTTGTGATTTCTGTGCATGCTTCAGCCTGCTGTCCTTTCATTAGCTTTTGACTCAACCCCCTTTTTCTCTTTCTCAACCTCTGGTTATGCTTTTCGGGGCAGTGCATATGAGATGCCGTGACTCATGTTCCAAAGCTTTAAGGAATTAGTTAGGTTTGAGCACAAGTATCCCTGCCACCAGCCACTGAACTGATTTAAGACCCCGAGCACGGCTGCTGTTTATATACACACCCACGCACCCGTATGCACGCACACACAAACACATGCACTGTCACTTGTCTGAGGCGAGTATAATGAATAGCTCTGTGTATTGAGAGCTGTGCTGAAGAGGGGAGGTGATGGATAATGAGCATCGGAGCAGCATAAAGGACACTCTCATCCAGCTTACGCTTGCATCACATGTGCAGGCAAACCCTCGCACACGCAGCTCARGCACTGCCTCAAGAAAGCAGGCCTGCTGATATCTGATTAATTAAGCAGATCTCTGCCTAATCATGTCAGATGTTTCTCCTAGACGTGCAAACACGGCGAGAGCTTCACGGCCGTTTCCGACTGTAATGTGCTTCGTAGAGTGAGAATGAAAGGAGCGAGAATAAAAAGTGCTCAGGATAAATGAACGGACTAGATGAAAGAGGGTTAGGAAGTAATTAGTAGATTTGTGAGACCAGGAGTCTCGGTTAGAATGTGTGTGGGTGTTTTCGGAGAGTATGTGTGTGGCCAGAGGCTTCCCTTGTTTCTGGGAGCCCGGAGCATGCTGGGACAGTGGGGCAGTGTGTCTCTGACCTCTCCATCTGGAGCCTGCCTGGAGCTCACACTGCCTCGCTGTGTGTGTGTGTGTGTGTGTGTGTGTGTGTGTGTGTGTGTGTGTGTG